GTCCCCGCCCCGCCCGAGGATGCCGTGGGGTCACCGCGCCTTAAAGCGGCCGCGTCCACTCCTGAGCCAGCGGCGCCTGCAGCAGAAGAGACCTGGGCCCTGCACCCTTGCCTGTCCAGCCCCCATGCCCAACTAACCCCCTTCTCAGGCACAAGCCGGAGTACCTGGGGTGGGCTCCAAGTTTTGGCGGACAGGCAGGTGAGGTAATGGCAGGCCCAACTTTTGAAGCCTTGGAGCCAGGAGTTAGGCCCAGCTGCACCCATCACAGGTGAGGAAACTGAAGCCCAGCAGGGATCTGCCTGAAGTCAGGCACTGCTGTGTGCGGTTCAGGCTGTGAGCCAGACCTTCAGACCAGGAGACTCTGGCAGAGTCAGCAATTTCATCTTCCCCTCAGCCCCGGGTGTCTTAACATCACTGCAGGGGACCCCCATTGCCATTGCTGGCCTCAGCTAGAGCTCCTAAGGGTGCACACACCACCTTCCTTGGTCCCAGTTACACTCTCCCCGATCCCCAACCTTCAGTAGAGTAAGGAGTACCGACCAATAGAGGCCTCCCTGACTCCTCAGGGCCTCAGGAAGGTACTACCCTGGCTGGACCCATTGCCCTCAGTGGGACCTATCGGAAGGGGCTGGAGTGAACAGCTCTAGCTTTCACAATCTGCCTCAGCACCTAGAACAGGCCCTGGATACCGATGTGGGGTCCCATGGGAAGCTTCGAAGTAGCTTGTGGTCCCAGCTCCAAAGGCCCCTGAAGCCAGAACAGCCCTGTGCTCCCCCAGGCACTCACAAGGCCCTAATTTCAGCCCCCACAGCCTTAGGACCTGCCCTGCGGACAGGCACTGGTGGGGAGGCAGCCACCACCTGTCATTGTCTTACAACTGTGGGCACCACTTGCCCTTAAACTTCTGGCTTCAAGGTCCTGCTATGACTCAGGCCCCAGCTGGCCCTGGAGCAAGAGCACTGACCCCGCCTGTGTACTTGGCCTCAAACTGACCCAGGACAGGCTACACTGGGCTAACCTGACCCCTGAAGTGGGTCCTCTGCCTGGGTGTGTCCCCATGATCATCTAGGGGACACTCAGTGATGGCTTCTGAAAGAATGTTGCTAGACCATCCCATCCAGCCCTACCTGTGCAACTTGTGCAAGTCCAGGTCCCTTCCCAGATTGTTTCTCCACCTTAAAACCACACACAGCATTGTCTTTTCTCTTCCTCCCATTTGTGAAGCTCCTATTTGTTTGGGGGAGGGTCAGCAAGTGCAAATGCAATTTGCAGGTATAACATTATTGTCATGTGATAGAAACTGACTTCCCAAATTCCTTGTGGTTCTGGAACCCACTGTCTCTGAAGTTTCTGGTCAGGGCTTCCAGCCCTGTAGTCAAGTTGGGAGAGTTAAATTTACCAGGACACTGGGAGTGGGGTGGGATGTTACTGGGTAACCAGGGCTGTTTATATAGGAAGGGATTAAATACCCAAAGGAAGCGGTGGTGCCTACCAGACAACAAAGACCCAGCTCCTCCCGTAGGCTACAAGCCCCCACCTTGTGGACCGCTACCATTACCCAAAAGGGAGGGAAGTAGCAGGGCCTAGAGGCTGGGGACTCCCAGAGCAGAGAAGGCAGAGGCTGGGGATTACAGCCAGAGAACAGGAAAGCGGCGGCCATTTTATTTTTCCCTGGGATGCTGGTGGCTGTGGGCCTGACGCGTCCCTGAGGCTTTCTTATGCTTCTGGTCCAGCACCTGGGCCATGTAGCTCTCCTGCTGCTTCTGGATCCGGAAGTCAGACATGTGATTCCTGCAATGGAGCCCGCTGGTGGTGGACTGTAGACAGCCCAGGGTATGTAGGGGCCAGAGGTCTGGCTCCCCAGTGTCATCAACACCCCCAGCCAGGCCCAGACCCCTCACCTGAAGATCTGTTTCTGCTGGCTGATAACTTGCTGCAACTCTTTAATCTCATTCTCTTTGCCATTAAGTATATCTTCTTGCTTTATAATGTGAGACTCAATCTCTGTGGGGGAAAGAGGCAGGGAGGAGGGGTGGTTCCCATCCCAGGGCTCCTTCCTGAGATAAGGCATTCCCTCATGGGGCTTTTCAGAGCTTGGCTGCCCACCCAGGAGTTCTCCATGAAGAACTGCTAATACCTTAGTATGAATGAGTTTATTATGCAGTCTTGGGGGACTGCAGTGTTTGAGGATTGTTGTCAATGACTTCACAAGTCTATTCTGGACCAGAGGACCCACATGAGGGCAGGAGAAGGTCCTTGGAGAGAGGTGGGCAGTCCTGCCCAAAGGCTGGAAGATGAATGGCACCTGCCCTCAACTCCAGCAGGTCTTTACAGATGTTGCCTCCTTGGAGAAACTCTCCCTCATCTAAAAATTACATTTCCCAGTACTTCCTACTCCCTCTTCCTGCTTTTTGCTTTCTTTTTCTTTTTCTTTTCTTTTTTTTTTTTTTGAGACTGAGTCTTGCTCTGTTGCCAGGCTGGAGTGCAGTGGCATGATCTTGGCTCACTGCAACCTCCTCCTCCTGAGTTCAAGCAATTCTCCTGCCTCAGCGTCCCGAATAGCTGGGTGGGATTACAGGCACCTGCCACCACACCTGGCTAATTTTTGTATTTTTAGTAGAGATGGGCCACCATGTTGGCCAGGCTGGTCTCGAACTCGTGACCTCAGGTGATCCACCCACCTCGGCCTCCCAAAATGCTGGGATTACAGGAGTGAGCCACCATGCCCGACATCCTGCTTTATTTTTCTTAACACTTTTACCTAACATACCATATACTTTATTCATCTGTCTTCTCTGCTACTAGGATGTAAGGTCCACTAGGACAAGGATCTTTGTTTTATTCACACCTTTATCCCTAATGCCTAAAACAGTACCTGGCACATAGTAGGTATACAAAAAGTATATTTGCAGACCGAATGAATGGGATGTTCCTGGGGGGTTAGGACTTAGAAACATGACCTAGTTCAATCATCCAGTCCAACCAAACTTCCCGGGGGCTGGCTGGATGCCCAGCCTTGTGCTAGGGCTTCAGGGTTGATGGGAGAAGATGGAGTTGCCTGGATTTTCAGACCTGTTTCCTCATTTCAAGGATGGGGAAAGAGACAGCCCTATCCCACAGTGGTATAGGGAAGAACCAGTGAGATAGTGGTGGCAAAGCCTACCCCCAAATTAATTGTACATTTGGGCAAAGATGACTTTCTGAGGCTTGAGCCCAGAAGTAAGAGACCAGTCCGGGCAACATAGTGAGACCTCGCCTCTACAAAACTAAAAAAAAAAAAAAAAAACTAGCTGGGCATGGTGGTGGAACGCGCCTGTAGTCCTGGCTACTTGCTGAGGCAAGAGGATCACTTGAGCTCAGGAGTTGGGGGCTGCAATGAGGTATGACTGTGCCCCTGCACTCCAGTCTGGGTGACAGAGCAAGACCCTGTCTCTAAAAAATAAATAAATAAATAAATAAATAAATAAATGATAATTTTTCTGTGTTGGATCAAAATCCAAGGAGACTATAGGGATCTGGGGTGCTTCATTTACATAACTGCCCCACATGGCACCCTGGAAAATTCTGATTCCCACAGAAAGAAAATCCTACTGTCTTTAAAGGCTGGACAAGGGGCCAGGCACAGTAGCTCACGCCTGTAATTCCAGCACTCTGGGAGGCCAAGGCGGATGGATCACCTGAGGTCAGGAGTTTAAGACCAGCCTGGCCAACATGGTGAAACCCTGTCTCTACTAAAAATACAAAAATTAGCCGGGTGTGGTGGCACATGCCTGTAATCCCAGCTACTTTGGAGGTTGAGGCAGAATTACTTGAACCCAAGAGAGACGGAGGTCGCAGTGAGCCAAGAACGTGCCATTGCACTTCAGCCTGGGTAACAGACCCAGACTCTGCTTCAAAAAAAAACAGGCCGGGCACGGTGGCTCACGCCTGTAAGCCCAGCACTTTGGGAGGCCAACGTGGGCAGATCATGAGCTCAGGAGATCGAGACCATCCTGGCTAACATGGTGAAACCCTGTTTCTACTAAAAATACAAAAAATTAGCCAGACGTGGTGGCGGGCGCCTGTAGTCCCAGCTACTCGGGAGGCTGAGGCAGGAGAATGGCATGAACCTGGGAGGCGGAGCTTGCAGTGAGACGAGATCTCGCCACTACACTCCAGCCTGGGCGACAGAGAGAGATTCCGTCTCAAAAAAAAAAAAAAGGTTGGACAAGGATTAATTAACTAGAACACAAACTCTGAAAATACAGAAATGTCTAGGCATTTAAGATTTCAAAAGAGAAGACCTGGTAAAAAGTGAAGGCGCAGCATGGAAAAGAGGAGACAGGTGGAGGGAGAGAATGAAGACATGAGTTCACCAGGTCATGGGATGAGGACTGTTGAACCTCCTTCCCAGGCGTCCAGCTAAGTGGGATTAATTACTTGTGAAGTTCGTTTGGGAAAAAGAATTAGAAATTTGTGTGACTCTTTGAAAATAAAAGCCTGTGGCTCCCGATGATGAGAGAATGGTTAGAAAATCCCTTTGAGAGTGAAGAACTATGTAAGTGTAAAAACCAAACTGAACCACACAAGGGGAGTTTGTAGGGATGGGGTGGGAGGCACTGGCCAGGGTGAGGTTCACATCACCAGACTGGCTCAAGAGGGCTTGTGTCCCACTGGAGGAGTTTAGAATATTCTAGGGGAGGCATCCAGGACCTGTCCCCATGACACACATACCTACCAACAAGCAGATCCAAAGCCCCGTGGGCTTGACTGATCTCTGTTGGAAGGAAATTACCTAGGGGAAGGATGTCTCTGGCCCCACCAGGAAAGAACCCCAGGTTCTTTTTTGGGAAGTAAGGGGATGCCCAGGGAGAGGGCAAGACTGAGGGGACCAATGGCCTTGAGCATGGGGGCAGTGACTGCCTGTTGGGCCCTGCCCTGGCAGGAGCCAGTGACCAAATTACTATGAGACTTGTCAGCCTGCCTGGCCAGATCAAGATGTCAGCCTGCTGGCATCTTCCCAGTGAGAGCACTCACCAGGGGAGAGAGAAGGCTGAATTGGTGAAAGGCAGGGTACTCAAGGCTCCATGTGGGAGCCTCACCAGAAAGGACCTTGAACCTCTTGCGCTTGGGCTCTGGCCTACTGGAGATCTGCTGCAGTGAACAAAGCTGATGTTGTGCCTGGAATTCATACCTACATTTTTTTTTTTTTTTTGAGATGGAGTTTTACTCTTGTTACCCAGGTTGGAGTGCAGTGGCACGATCTCAGCTCGCTGCAACCTCTGCCTCCCGGGTTCAAGCAATTCTCCTGTCTCAGCCTCCTGAGTAGCTGGGATTACAAGCTCCCGCCACTACACCCAGGGAATTTTTGGTATTTTTAGTGGAGATGGGGTTTCACCATGTTGGCCAGGCTGGTCTTGAACTTCTGACCTCATGTGATCCGCCTGCCTTGGCCTCCCAAAGTGTTGGGATTACAGGCATGAGCCACTGCGCCCAGCCCATACTTAAACTGGGTAAGGGGAGTTTAGCATTCTAAGAAATAAACGGGGCTCCTGAGGTGTAAGGACACGGTGTAGCTGACTCTAAAGGTGCCCCACAACTTATGGCACTAACTGAGCCAAACAAGTGGCCCACAGGCATCTGCACAGAGCAGAGTTGAAAACTGGCAGCCCACAGATATTTTACTTGGCCTACACAATAGTTTTAAAATTTCAAAATCAACTGCCAACACTAAAAAGTCAGAAAAGCTTCCATTAAAACTTGGTTTTGGGCCGGGCGCGGTGGCTCAAGCCTGTAATCCCAGCACTTTGGGAGGCCGAGGCAGGTGGATCACGAGGTCAGGAGGTCAGGAGATCGAGACTATCCTGGCTAACATGGTGAAACCCCGTCTTTACTAAAAATACAAAAAACTAGCCGGGCGTGGTGGCGGGCGCCTGTAGTCTCAGCTACTTGGGAGGCTGAGGCGGGAGAATGGCATGAACCCGGG